GCCCCATTCTGAGTAAGACAAGTCATGTGGTACTAGTAAGTTGAGGCAATACAATCCTAAACTGCAACAGAAAACCTAAACCCCCCTTTACTGTCTTTCAGGATGATTCCTTCTTAGTTGTTCATAGATACTATTGATGTGTCTAGAACCTTGCTTTTTCCATGTGACATAATTCAGAAATGGACTGAGTTACTAAAAGAGAACCATAACTATGTCTTGCATGTATTGATATTTATTGCCCTATGCATATTTGTACAGCTGCTCACTCAACTGTACTTCAATAACAGCCTCAAATTGTCTTATTTTATTCATTGTTAAATGAATCTACTGTGTATTCAGTGAACACAAATTAGCATGAACTCCTTTTTCTTTTAATCTAAATGTGGTATCAACATGGCTATTTTTATTTTATTATATAAAGAAGATTTTTAGTTTGGGAAATTATACCAATGATAACAATTTTACATATATTTTAATAGTATTTCTTCAGTTTTTTGAATAAGTGTCTGTGACTGTTTATGTCATTGTCCTAAAGTAAAATTTATACCTGGATCTTTTGTAGTTATTTGTGAAAGGTATAATTTTTTTTAGTGTGGAATACTTCCTGAAGACTGTTATTCCTTTTTTGTGCTGTTTTTACTGGAAAAGTGTTTTCATATAATGTATTCTAATCACACTTTTGCTCTCCCTCAACTCCTCCCCGATCCCCCCACATCCACACCAACCCAATGCCAGACTTTTCTTTCTCTGTCTCTCACTTTTTAAACAAATAAACAAACAAAAACCAGGAAACAAACAAGACACACAAAAGCACAAAATCAGTTACCAAAATATACAAGCAAAAGACTAATGAGACAAAAAGTACACAAAGAAAGCAATATGAGGCAAAAAGTCTAAAGAAATTCCACTGGGTTCTTTTTGTGTTGGCTTTCGACTCGTGGCGTGGGGCCTACCCTAATGTGTAGTTAATATGCCCAATGAGACGCTATTGAAGAGAACTAATTTTTTTCTTTGCAAGCAGATACTGATTGTAGATAGCTTCTTGGTTAGGGATGCAAGCCTGTGTTCACTTCCCCTTTTCATTGCTGGACCCCAACTGGGTTGAACTTGTTACAGGCCTTGTGAGTGTTGCCCCAGTCTCTGTGAATTCACACGTGCCTCAGTCCTGTTGTGTCTGGAAGACACTGTTTCCATGCAGTCATCTGTCCCCTCTGCTCTTACACTCTTTCTGCATCCTCTTCTGCATAGGTGCCTGGGCCCTGAGCAGGAGGACTTGAAGACTTCCCATGTAGTACTGAGTGCTGCAAAGTCTTTACTCACTGAATATTTTCCTGTTCCTATGTTAGTTCCCATCTACTACAAGAAAAAACTCTTATGAGGATGGCTAAGTGAGACACTGATCTATTGGTGTAGCAGAATGTCATTAGGAGTCACAAAACCTCTTATCTTGCTGTAATTTAAATTGTGAATTGCAAGTTTTTTGATGGTTTAAATTTTCTCACTTAAATTTTAAGTCTTAGAAAATTTCACACAATTTCTCATGATTTAGCAAAATATAAAAATGTTTATTTAAGTTTATAAAGCTGGATGCTATGGCCAATAGAAATTGTGTTTTAAATTATAGGCTATTCCCTGTACTCAGTATAAACATATAACTGGATTATGTTGAGATTATAGATAGAAGTGAGTACAGTTTCATGGGATTATAGATTAATGATGAACTTGACAGTAAGAGTAATGAAAGCTGTATTTTAGCAGTGCAGAATGTTAGGAAAATAAAGACAATGAAATGTAAGGTCTGTGAGGAGCGCCTGTGGTAAGGACGGACACATGAAATCAATCTGAGAGGAAGAGCTTAAGCTGAACTACTAAAGCTTAGGACAAAGACGGGGAATAAGAAAGCAAAGCCAGAAGGGTGGAGAAAGTGGTGTCTCCTAGAGTAAACTGATGTGCAAAATACCCAATGTGGTATTACTGAAGAAAGATTTTAAGAATGTGACCATACCCAAGCCCTGAGATTATTATGTACAAACCAGCCCTGGTTCTTCCTACAAGGTTTTGAGCATTTTTGAAGGCCAAGGAGAATTTTGAAAACAAGAATCATAAAATTTTTTTAGCAAAATTTTCTTTCCACATTTGTATCTTAGAAAGTTTTTCTAAGATAAATTGAAGGCAAATTGGAAGACAGCCAGGTTTGAAGAAAGAAAACTCATCAGAATACAACTATAATAAATAACATTGTGAATTAAAGATTATGAGAATGGAAACAAGAATTGTAGTTTCACGTTTTATTTAGAAGAGAATTCTTAGACTTAACTGGCTCAGATCAATATAAGAGAAGCATTAGCTTTAATTTCAAAAACTGAAGGTTTAAGTACAGTTCTCTGCCCAGGTGAAGGGTATAGAAGAATAAGAACCTATGAAGCTGCCCGTGTTGCATACCATTCCTTTTTTCTTCATTTTTTCCTTTGATTGAAAATAGATTATTCTCTCATAGAATGTATGCTGATTACAGGTTCCCCTTCCTCTACTCCTTCCAGTTCCTCACCACCTCCCCTCCCCTCTGGATCTACTCCCTTTCTGTCTCTCTTTAGAAAAGAACAGACTTGTGAGAGATAACAAACATGGCAAAATAAAATATATTAAGATAAAGCAAACGTCATCACATCAAGGCTGAACAAGGCAACTCAACAGAAGGAAAAGATTCCTAAGAACAGGTACAAGAATCAGAGACCCACATGTTCACACACTCAAGAGTCCCATATAAAATACTAAGCTGAAAGATATAATATATATGCAGAGGACCTGATGTAGACCCACAATGGTCCTGCGCCTACTGCTTCAGCCTCTGTGAGTTCATACGAGCCTTGCTCAGTTGATTTAGAAGGCCTGGCTCTGCTGCTGTCCTATATGCCCTCTGGCTCTTACACTCTTTCCGCCTCCTCTTCAATGGAATTCCCTGAGCTCTGAGGTGAGAGATTTGATGGAGACATCCTATTTAGAGGTGCATGTTCCAAAGTCTCTCTCTCTCTCTGCATAATGTCTGGCTATAGATCTCTGCATCTCTTCCCATCTGCTGCAGGAGGAACTTCACTGATGATGAAAAAAAATACACTGATTTATGAGTATAGCAGAATATCAGTAGGAGTCATTTTATTGATACTTTTTTTTTTTTTTAAGATCCGTAGTGTTTGCTTTTACTCTAGGTCTCTGGGCTATCTAGCCTCTGGTTCTTGTTCACCGAGCACTGTCAAGTTCAGTCTTATGAAGTGGGCCTTACCTAAAATAAGGCATTGGTTGGCTACTCTGACAAGTTCTATGCCTCCATTGTCCTAGCATGTGTTGCATGCAGGAGCAGTTGTAGGAGACAGGGTTTGTGGCTGGACTGGTGTTTACATTTCTCCTTTAGTAGTCTTCAGAGTGCCTTGGCACACCAAAGATAGAATAGAGAGATCCAGGCTCCATATTTGCACCAGCACAACATCTCCAGGTTCAATGAGTTGTGTAGGTATTTAGAAATAAGTGTTGGCTATTAGAAATTCAGATGTTAAAATTCTTAAATTAGATCTAGAAAATAAAATAAATAGTACCCCAGCTCTGTGATAGCTTACCCTGAGCATACATGTATCATGCAGTACGTAGTGAATGCCTGTGGTCTAAGTTAAAGTGGCAAGAAAAGCAGAAACCACAACAACCTTGGCATATCAAACATGCTAGAAACATGGAGATTAGCAAGGGGGTTGAGGGATAACAGTGAATGTGAGGAGTGGAAATGAAATTCCATAGAAAGTAAAGCACAGGCTAGGTGATACCCAAGTGCCAGGCTTGGCCACATGTGGGGGTGGAGTTAGAGAATAGAAAGCCCTGGAAATGTTAGTTTGTCGTTTGAAATTTTAAAGATATAAGCAAGTGAAATGTTTGTGACTGTACGTTTTTATATTTCTGTAGCCTTATAACTTCTTGTGAGCTTTTACACATTAAAAAATTTTTAAAAAGCTTGAAGGTATCCTATAACGTAAGATGTCATCTACTGAAAATGACAAATCGGGTAAACTTAATCAGAACAGACAAAGAAGAAAAGGGCAACATGGAGTGGTCAACAGCATCATTCTGCAAATAGGTCAAAAAGAGACACGGGCTGGAGGAGCCTTTTAGCCTGGTATTTACATTTGATCACAAGTGACCTTATTAAACGCCACTTCACTGAAAGGCTAAGGGCAGAAGCTTGACCAGACTTTTGGGGAGGTGGAAAGTGAGTACGTGAAGAGCTGGCACAGTCATTAACAAAGGGGAGAGCTCCTGCAAAGACACGAGTAGTGCCTTAGCTCAAGACCTCTTTGGTCTTAAGGAAGGAATCCACAGAAACTTCTTCATACATAAGGGGTAGTCACTAGTTTTCCATGGATGGGAAGTAACACGAGAGACTGACTTGTCAGGTCCCGATTGTGGCAGATCTGTCTTCCTCACAGTAGCTCATACATGAGCTTGTAAATGCGAGGGAAGAATTTGTGAACAGATTTCTTGCAGCAAGCTGACCTGTTAATGGGTTGGAGATGAGCGCCTATTCAGGGTAAATATACAACACTACAGAAACAAGTTAAGGTTCTCTTTAAAGAAACCAGCATTTAACTGGGAGGGGAACTCAATTCGTCTGTTTCATAGAAGAATACAGAAGACACCTGGTTTCAAATGCAGGACATTAATAATGTGTTTTTAAAAATATTTGTATTAAAACAGTCTTTCCGGGCATGCCTTTTATCTCAGCACTCAGGAGACAGAGGCAGGTGGATCTCTGTGATTTCAAGGCCAGCCTGGTCTACAGGAGTTAGTTCCAGGACAGCTAGGGCTGTTACACAGAGAAACCCTGTCTCAAAAAACCAGAGAGAGAGAGAGAGAGAAAGAGAGAGAGAGAGAGAGAGAGAGAGAGAGAGAGAGAGAGAGAGAACAATCTTGATATAAACAAGTTAGTAAATTTCTTTGTTTTTCTTTTCCTTCTAAAGCCGAACAACAACTTATCCTTATACAGAAACACAGATGTACAGCCAAAACACTGGAGGAAATTACTTTGATACTCAAGGAAGTTCAGCGCAGGTGACAACCGTGGTGTCCTCCCACAGTATGGTGGGTACTGGTGGGATTCAGATGGGCGTCACAGGAGGACAGCTCATCAGCAGCTCCGGAGGAACCTATCTGATTGGCAATTCAATGGAGAATTCTGGTCACTCAGTGACACACACAACTCGGGCCTCCCCAGCGACAGTAAGTGTTTCGCGTTTTATTTCTGTTAGCCTCTGTGGCTTGTATTGTACTGTTTTCCTCTATAGAGGGAAGCAAATCACACAGACTTGAGTAGGGCAAATTGTATTGTGCAGTTTTCATATCCTGCCACTTTACATGCTGTAACAGGTAGCAGTATGAAGAACGTTACTGATATGTATGCCCTAATTCAATAATTACTCTTTATCAGTAATAGAAAACTAGATAAAGAGAAATTAATTTTCCTAATGTAAACACTGACTTTGCTATATTTTGGGGCTCATGCCTGGAATGTTAGCACACAGAGATTGAAGCAGAAGGAGTATTGTGAATTCAAGGCCAGACTGAATTATATAAACTGTACTATAGTTTGTTTATACATTTAAAAAACTGGTTTGCTTTTACAATAGAAAGTCACATGTACTTGTTTTATCAAATTTATATTAATACTAGTATTTAATTTAAAAAAAATATGTGGACTACATGCCTGTTTCCTTGGTTCATGAGAGGCGGGGGGAGGATTGTGAGTGTGAGACCAGACTGGGATATGTCGTGTGGCCGTCAGGAGATGGGTTGCCCTGTGCTGTATTTCATTTGCCAGAGTCGCATTGCATCTACCAAAGAAAGCTCTGGGATGCCCTGGTGACAGTGATTCATTTATAAGACACTTGTGTCAGGGCTGTGACCAAATGATGAATGAAGACACATCTTCATAGAGCACTTCTCAAACATTTAAATTTAAATATGCATTTTAACAGAGAAGGATGGCTTGCCATTATGAGAGTGTTAATTTGCTGAAGTGGTTTCAGGAATATAGGAAGTTATATACCATTTGATATCATCAAGCTGTAAGGTCAACTATGTATAAAAGGGAGAAGGATCACCGAAGACAAAATAGCAATGGAATGGACTTCTTACTTGATTGATATGAAATAGTGGTTGTGGGCTAGGGTTGTACTTCAGCAGCATCGTGACGGCGCTTTGTGTGCTCAGGGTCCTGAGTTCCACCCCTAACTCTGCAAAGAGGTGGGGAGTGTAGAGGTAGGGTTTTTGAATTAAGTGTATACTCACTTTTCTCATTTTGTTACCATGTCTTTTGTTCCTGAAGTGACATGAGGAAGTAGTGAATTAGGGAGAAAACAATAGCAGTATGAGGCTTCTAGTTTTCACCTTCCGGGTTTCCTTCAGAATGTTCTATGTACTTTGTGTTACTCTTCTGTATTTATTGTACTGACTTGTCCCCTCTCTCATCATTATTATTGACCTTTCCCTCATCAGATTTTAGAACTCTCTATTTTTATTGACTTCGGTGTTTTTTTAACACCAGAACAGCTGTTCTGTGTAGATTTTTTTTGCATTTTTGTACATACTTTTGAAGTGCTTTTTATATTTATTGGCTCTTGCTTTTAATAATCTTACACTTCTAAATTTTTCAATCATACATGTGTTTATACAGACTACAAAATAAAGAAGTTACCACTAGTCAGCCATATCCTATCTAGCCTTGTTACTCTATCCCTAAAACAAAGTGCTATACTAAGTAATTTTTTATTTAAAATCATGACAATTACTGAAAGAATTATGAAATAGCTTAAGCAAAACAGTAAGTTTATATTTATCACAAAAGGAAAATGGTACTGGTAGTTTATCGATGCCTATTGCGATCCATGTCAAATGTCATTCCCAGCGGTAGGGAACGATTTCTCAAGGCTGTGTGAGTTGCCTCGTTTTTCACTTCATCTGCTCTCTCATGCTGACATGCCTTCCTTCTGACCTCATCCTTTCCTACTTCCATCTCTTGTGGCCATTCCCATTTGCCTTCACAACAATTCTAGTACTAAATATCCCCAATAACAACTTGATTAATGTTTACTTAATTTGCAAGTTCTGTTGCTAAATTAACTAAACATTATCTTTTAGATCATTTAAATATATATTTAAAAGTATTAAAAGAATTAATTTTATAATTTTTTTAACCAGTGGATGCCTTTGTTTTTCTATACAGAATATGCAAGATGACATTACTCCTAGTTTTTCCACTATACAACTTTGAAATAATTTATTATTTTATCAGTTTATCAAATGGACTCATAAATAACTGAGTTATTGCAAATAAGAATGATTGGAACTCTTTTTAAAATAGCAATTTATTATAGATATAAATAAATATAGTTATAAATTTGTACTCAAAATATCCATTTCTGGGGAGTGATGAGTCTGATGTGTTTGCAGTTAGGGTTATTTTCTTTTTACATCAATACTTCCTTTTTAACTGAACATGTAAAAGTTGACTAAGAAATTTTGTGTATGCAGACCCTCACTGAAAGCATAACTATGAGTTATTTAAATCTATCTATATACATCTCTCAGTGTTTATTAGGTTTCTTGAAATCCTTTAATAAGCTATATATTTGATTTACATCTCACCTCAATAATGCTGAACATATTAGTTCAAATCACTAATAATAAGTGTGTTATTTCTTTTATCACTTTTCAGTTTCATTTATTATAGCAAATTAGCGAAATTAAGTGTTATTTACCCCTGGAACTTTTCATACTATTCTTCTCTTGCCAAATCCTGAAAATCAATACACTTCTTCATTGTTTTGATGACTTGAGATCGGCCTGCATCTAGTAGGTGCTTCTTGCTGCCATGTGTCTTTTTCAGTCCCCGTAGAACCGTAGGCATGTCTGTAAGTATAGTGTCTGGCAGCATGCCTTTCCACACTAGGCCATATGCTATATGCCATTTAAGTTCAGTTTCTCTGACTGATCTTGTTGTGTCTCTAACATGTAGCATAGCTAATATAATTGACTATAGAAATTCCTGGTGTCTTAGCCAACATGCCTGAGTGCAGAAAAGAGACAGCTCTCTACATCTGCAGATCTCTCTTTTGTGGATTCAATCATAGAAAATGCTTGGGATAAAATTACAGTACATGTACCTACATTTTGCTTGCTATTCTTTCCCAAAAGATATAGTATATTAACTAATTTGAAGCATGTTTATGTTGTGTTAGGTTTTATAAATAATCTAGAGACAATATAAACATTCTGGCATTCAAGATAGTTTAGCAGGTAAAGGTACATCCCACCAAGCCTGATAACCTGCATGCAGTCCTCAAGACTCACATGGAGAAAGAGAAAATTGACTCTCAGAAGTTGCCTTCTTACCTCCGTATGTGGAAATGCACACATATACACCTACACACACACCTCACTTCTGTTAAAAGAAAGTACACAAGTGTTCTGATAGATTGTATACAGCTAATTCCATATCTTAAATAAGGGACATCTGGTTTCTGATGAACATTCATGAAAAACAAGGGGCAGCCGTAGTCAGCCTGGCATTGCTGATGAGCAGAGCGGGAAGTGCTGTAGCGTCACCAGCTCACTTCATTCAGTTGGTAGGAAACTGGTTAATATCCTTGGGAAGACAGCTGAGCACCATAACTCACTTCCAGACTGGCAGCATCCTACGTCTGTCCTCAGATGATGCTTATACAGTTCACAGTTCAAATACAGAAATATTTGCACTTAGAATTATTAGGAAGAACATCGTGTCCTCAGAAGCTTAATGTGCAAACAGCCTCTTATGGCATGCTATGGAAGAAGGTCGGTGATTTTACATAAAAACCCCAGTGGAAAAAAATCGAGATCATCTCCTGGTATACTTGGATGCCTAGGCTAAAACATCTTATTGGAATCATCTTTGCTCTACTACAGTCATCTGGATTATCTGTAGAATTTTTATTTCAAGTATTATTTGCTTTAATTTTATAACTTTAGATGAAAAAAGCTTTATTAGGGTGATTTAATATATCATATTTGTCTTGCTATAATGGTAATGAATTTTATATTATGAATATATTATGGGGTAAACTATTAGTATTCCTATTTGCTGACAACACTACTGTTCGTTTTACTTATTATATCATGTGGTCATTAAGAACCCATATCTTGCGGGTGGGAGTGGTGCACGCCTTTGATCCTAGCATTTGGGAGGCAGAGGCAGGCGGATCTCTGGGAGTTTGAGGTCAGCCTGGTCTACAAGAGCTAGTTCCAGGACAGGCTCCAAAGCTACAGAGGAACCCTGTCTCTAAAAACAAAACAAAACTACCAAAAAAAGAAAAGAAAGAACCTATATCTTTATAAATAATATATGTGTATGTCTATATGTACATATATATTATAAAAATACATATATAAGACATTTTATGCTGATACTAAAAATTTTAAGAAATATTAGCAGTTTTATTGGATCACCATTAGATATGAGTTTAGTTAAGTAGTTTTAGATTTAATTCAGTTGAAATGAGGGATCGATTGTTGCTGTGTCACAGACCGTAAGGTATGGGAGTTGGTTATTGTCATGAGTCTGGACTCATCCAACTCTTCCCTCTGACTGTGTCATTCTTTTTCTCTCATTTTATTTGAAATTCTTGGTTTGTTTGTTTGCTTGTTTTGATAGCATCCTCATTTATAGAATTTAAGAACTTTGAAAATGAAACAATTTTCATGTGCAAAGCAAAAACTTGTGACTGCAGTGATATTTTTGTGCTTATAACAGCATATTATATCTTATACTTTCCCAGACAGTAAATGCAATATGATTTAAGAACCTTAACCTCTATTAAGCAAAATATTATTTGTATTTTTTATTAAGTTATTTTTGTTCTTCATAAGTAAATAAATAGCATTATATTAGGCATTTTGAGGCTGTGCTATAAAATTAATTTTAGGACCTATATGTAATAATAATTATATACATTTAAAAGCTTTTAGTAAAATTTGATTCTGCCAAAAAAGCTAAATAAAATATGTGGATAATAATATCTCTTCTAATTAATGTAAAATATACCTTAACTATTTGATATGAATAAAACTTAGCTTACTTTATATAATGTAGAGAAATCTGATTCATTTTAGAATTTTAGGTGTTCTTATTTCTTTTTCCTGTACTTTAAGTGTTCATGAGTCCATGTAACATATGCTCTTTCTAA